CAGGATGGGGCAGCATTACTCAAAATGGTCGTTCTCTGTTCTGTAGTCCTTAGTGCACTGTGTTCATAGGCTCTCCAGGCACTCTTCTTGCTGTCCACTGGAAAACAATCTCAGGACAGATTTTATTTCCTCTGTTGAAATTCTGCTGTTTCAGTAGCCCAATGACAGTCATTGTCTTTTATTTCCATGTGTGACTTGAAGCCAGAGTCAGAAAAATATTGTACTTTGTTCCCAAACAATAGGGCTGTGTGTTTTCGCATGATGACTCTGGCTTTTCAGCCTGGGTGCCATATTTTACTTCTATCTGTGGCCCATAGCTGGTGCTCAGCTGAGGCTGGAAAATGCCCACAATGAATCTGTGTGGTTATGCAATGCTGCACACGAGGTGAAATTCCTTTGTAACCCCTGCAGGCGATCAATTTATGCCCCGAATGATGAGATTTTGATTACCCTTGTCTAAGCTACAGATACTGTTAACTGCAGTGAAATCAGGTCTCTCTGGTAAGGCTCATCAAAGCACAGATCCTGGTGACGTTCTGAGGTTGCAAGTCCTTTGCAGCTCTGGGGGATGTCGTGGTGCTTTGCCATGGGAAATCCTTTCACTGTGCAGATGTTACTTGCTGTGGCCTTTTGTAGATCAAAACCCAACTCCTGCCGTTTCCAGCCTAATACTTTTCAACAAGCAAATAATGCCCTGAAAGTGTTGACAGGAATGGCAGGCTGCTTCCCTGGAGTCGGCAGGGTGAGCTTGTTGCTTTGACACTGGATCTCCCTCTGAATGTAGAGACTGGTTCCAGCATCCCCAGCCCCACATGGCTTTGGTTATAACTTGGGGAGCAACTTTTCTCCCCCAGCAAGCACAGTTTCCCAAGGCAGCTGCATTCTTCTGTGAATAAAAGTTGTTGAGTTGAGGGAGGCTCCTGGCTGGAAGGTGGGACCTCTCCACGGCCAGACTGAGACTGGCGGGTGGAATGAGGCCTGATGGTGTGTTAGACACTAAGATGTATCTCTCCCATGGATTCCTCCGTCTTATATTTCACATACAGAAAAAGATAAGCGTGTATGTTTGTATATGTATGTGTGTATATACATATATATATATACACAAATCTAATTCAGCAGTAAGCCAGAGCTTTGTGTACCCTTCAGCCTCATGGGAGGGAAGAATTGATAAGCTGATCTGTTTTCAAGGCCAGGAGAGATAAATAGGACCAGTTGGTCTGGTGTGCCGTGCAGATCAGCCCGTAGATTCCTGTACCAGGCCTGTCTGAGAGATAGCATTTTTGTTTTGACTTGTGAGAGGATCCCTCACACAACCGGGATGAGTTTCAGTATAAGACCAGGGATGAATAGGCTGAAATAGGTGTGACCAAGAGGATAATGCAGCCTTCTGCATCTTAGTGTACCCATCTGTGAAATGCAAATAATAATAGGGGAACCTTGTAAGGATTCATTAGTCCTTTGAAGATGGCATGTGTTACACACTGTTATTGTGATCTTCCAAAGTTGGCCTCATCCCTGCCTTTTGGACATACACATCTCACTGTTGCTCACTTCCTGATTTATTTCCCCCTCCTCCCTGACACAGTTCAAGCTAAGTCAGCAGGGCAAAGGCCTGTCCAGAACAGTCAGACACATGTCATGGTGGCTTATGGTCTGGAAGGGTTGCAAAGATGAGACCCATGCTCTACTTCAAGTACAGAATGCTAGAAATTGCTGTCTTTGCATTGCAGATGTGACGAGGAGACGCAGGACTTTCTGTGCTGGATGGACTAGTGTCATGTAACGCAGCTCATAACCCAAGGTGCTTTTTGTGGATTTTAGATCAGAGATATATGTAGATTTGGGCAGGAGGAAACCTGATGACAGGGAAGAGACACTGATTCCGGAGGATGCTGTAGATGCTGGATTTAGGGGAAATTGGTAGATAGTCTGGGTGCAAAGATGTGCAAAGCAACTGATCCACATTAAGTTCATCTGCCTCCTTTCCTTTTGATACAGTAAGTCCACTTGACACAGATCATTATTATACATTATTCAGTAAAGATTGTTGCCATGCTCTGGGCATGTTTCTGAAATGCTTTTTGCTGCGGCTCCATGGGCTCTGGGATGCATGGGGCTCGCTGTGCACCTGGTTCCCAGAAGTGGATGCTATCCGGGAATTCCTGTCATTCCTCTCCTGGCCTCTAGCAGTTCCCCCTCCTTGGTCACCGCCCGGGAATCGTGCTCCGGGATGCTGCGAGTTAACGCTTTGCATTTGCAGCGGTGCAGCCAGGTGGCGTGAAGAGCCAGCTCCTGTGCTGGTGAGCTGGGCTGTATTCCCAACACGACGGTGGGAAACGAGCAGCCTCTTGGGATGGGCTTGTCACTGGGTCAGGCCGGTGGAATTCTTGTTAGAGCTCAGGAGAGGCTCATCCTGGCTGGAGGGAAAGGACCATGGTGTAGACCTTGATCAGTGGCAGTGGTACTTCAGCGTGACCAAGACTTGTTTCCCTGGAGATCTGGGCAGCACTCGCCAGAGCTGCAGCAATAGTGGGTACAAACAAGGGAGCTCTGGAACAGTTGCAGTCTAGAGACTCCAACTCATTTCCATCAAGTGGCTGGATGTTGGTCACAGAAGTGCTTGTCCACTGTCATAAACCTTGTTCTTGCATGGAACGGATGCCATGTTTTTACATGGATGAGGTGCCTCCCAAACTACTCTGAGGAGATCAGTGAGATTTGTAGTTCTTCTTGCAGCTGTGTAACCTATGGTGGGTACATAACTGGGTGTCTGTGGGAGGCTTGAAATCATCTGTTTGCTAACAGAGATGAATCCTGAAGATGTGCAGAACAGACCTCTGGGCAGCGCTTAGGCAGGTGCAGCCCAAAAAGCTATGTTAGCTTACAGTGTTAATGTGTGTGCTGATTTTTGCCTGAGATAATTTTCTTCATAATAGCTTATGGGACTGAGTTTTGGGTTTGTGCTGGAAACAGTGCTGATAATTTGGGGATGGGGGTGTTTTAGCTATTGAGCAATGCTTGCAGAGTCAAGGCCTTTTCAATGAGGAGGCTGGGGGTGCACAAAGAGTTGGGAGGGGACCCAGCCAGGATGGTTGACCCCAACTCATCCAAGGGATATTCCATACCATAGAGCGTCATGTTCAGCATACAGAGCTGCAGGAAGAAGGGGAGGATGTTCTGAGCGATGGCGTTTGTCTTCCTAAATCACTGCTATGTGTGATGGATCACTCCTTTCCTGGAGGTGGCTGAACACCTACCTGTGATGAGAAGTGGTGAATGAATTTCTTGTTTTGTTTTGCTTTGCTTGTGTGTGCGGCTTTTGCCTTACTTATTAAACTGTCATCTCAACCCACGAGTTTTCTCACTCTTACTTCTTACTCTTTCAGTTCTCTCCCCCATCCCACCAGGAAGGAGTGAGTGAGCATCTGGGTGGTGCATGGTTCCTGGTTGGGGTTAAACCACAACTCTGACAGCACAGTTATATACCCTTGATATTTCTTACTTGACAGCTGCCCAAAGTGAGCTGCAAGGGGGTGCTGGCTCTGAACCTGAAGTGTAATAATGTTCAGAAACTGATTAAAAATGGGTGACTTTAGTCCTTGCATTTTGAAATGTCTCACTTTGGAGGTGTAACTCATGAAACGCTGATGAAGTTGAGAGCTCTGGTCTCTGGCTGTGAAGCCAAATACCATCTAGTCTGGGTTTCCTTTGTTAAAGGAGCTGAACAACTATTCCTCTTTTAGCCCTGAGAATCTCTGGATTGTGAGAGAGGTGTAGTGGTCAGTTGAAAAAGAGAAGTTTCAATGTTTCAGAAATCAAGCATTAAGCAGTGGTGGTGATGGGGTTCCTCTGAGGGGGAGGAGATGGCAGGGAAGTAACAAGTGTGTCAATCAGGACAGGAAAGGACAACTATGGTGGGAATATAGGCATGTCTGTGGTTTTATTGGAAATACGTGTGATTTAGTTTTCCTACTAGTGTTACTTTCCACTGGGTATGAAGGAGTTTAATTCCCTGAGAAAGGAGAGCAGGCCATGGGACAGTCTTGAAGGCTGTCTGTGCTTGTGTGAACGGGACACCTGGAGAGATGGCATCACTTGAGAGCAGGTGCTGCGAAGGTTGTGGTGGTGTGAGCTTGGCTGGTGGGCAGGAGGAAGAGTGAGCAGTGCTAGCAGCACAGAGACAAGCATGTGTTGCTTTCCCAGTCTGGTCTAAGGACCCAACAGTGATGCCTGGTAAAGTCCCATTTGCCTGATGAATTATGTTGATAATACTGAAGTCACAGCAGTGAGTGCAGAGATGTGTGTTTTCCAGTAGGAGAAAAGACAGTGCTGTGAAAGGGGGCTGTCCCTGGCCACCCCCGCATACCCCCTCACAGCAGTGCCAAAGTAGGTAAAATGCAGGCTGCAGATCCTTATCAGAGTTTGTTTTGTCCTGCTGTGGTGGCTTTGGATACCTGACCCAAAATGCTGCCTTCCTCTAGGGTGAGAATGGGGCTGCATAAGTTCATTCTTTTGAGCATTAAGGGCAGCCTGGAGACTGGCATTCAAACAACGGAAAGCTAACAAAAACCCGACAACAATAAAACCCAACCAACCACCCAAACAAACCTTCACTGTCCTTACACACACACCTCCTCCTCCCCTCAACCACAAACAACTTTCCCATTCTCACCCCCAAGACAACTCTCAAAACAAAGCCCCCAGCTGGTTATATTGCTAGGAAGCTTTCCCTTGCCAAAACCCATCCCTAGGTGATGCTAAACCCATTAGACAGGAGGTGATCCCATCTGCAAAACAGTGCCATGCCACTAAAGGGAAGAAAATCAGTTTTCAGAGTGGACAAGGCATCTCATTTATTTTTATATATCTACAGACACATCCCTGTGCAGGCACAGCCTGTGAAGGAGTGAAGTGTGGGAACATCATAGGAAATGGAGTGTGAGCATGGTCATCACTAACCGGGGTGTGAATCACTTAGCTGCCTCTTGGGCTCCTCTCCCCATACTCCTCAGGACCCTGAAGAGGGAAGAGGTGAGTGTCCCTGTGGCTGTGTCCTGCCCAGCTTGGTGGCTGTAGGACTTTGTTCCTAGAACTCCTCACAACTTCTCCAGTTTCCACCTGACAAGAGTTTGCCTAAATTTAATATTATGCTCTCATTTTCCTAGTTGCTTCTCCATGATTATTTTTATCCTGTTTCCTGTTTTCCTACCAGAATGTGTTGGAAAATGGACCCAGTGAGAGCTGTCCTGCCAGGCATAGCATCATTTATATGCTGTTTTCCAAAATTTTAACTGACATGAACAAAAGAATCATTGGAATATCTCTTCTTGCCTTTAGCTGCTTTTCCCTGTAGAATATTGCTCTTCAGCTGCTTGGCATCATTTTTAAATTAAGATTAGCAAGGTGCTGCACTAAACCCATTGCTAAAGCATAGGCTCTCTTCTACATATCTCCTATGGAAATTAATGGGCTGTCTGGATTCCAGTGCAGGATTGAGATGTTACTGTGTAAATCTATCAATAAAGTGTAAATCCATCAATATAGGCAATCAAGTGAGTCAGGTAAGGTTTATAATTAATACACCCTTGCTGCTATCCCTCATTATTCTGCTCAGTTTGTGTAACTTGAGCCCACAGGAGCAAATTCTTCAAACCACATGGCTTTTCGGGGGTCTCCCCATCCCCTGACATCACATTTCATACTGTTGGTAGTGTTTCAGGAGGTTATAGCTATGCAGTAATAATTGGGAGGGAAATCCTTGAATCAGAATGGTTTGGGCTGGAAGGGATCTTTAAGATCATCTAGTTCCAACCCCCTTCCACTAGACCAGGTTACTTTAAGCCCTGTCCAACCTGACCTTGAACACTGCCAGGGATGGGACAGCCACAGCTTCTCCAGGCACCTTGTGCCAATGTCCCACCATGCTTAGAGTAAATAACTTCTTATGATCTAATCTGAATCTCCCCTCTATCAGTTTAAAGCCATTCCCCCTTGTCACTACATGTCCTTGTAAAAAGTCCCTCTCCAGCTTTCAATTCATTCTCATTTAAAATTCTTAATTCTCTTTCTATTTTGTTTTAGTTTTTTTTTTTGAGATTTGGTACTGAACATGGTTCTAATTTTGGTATCAAGGTGTGTTTGGACCATTCTGAGCACCTCAGGGGACAGTGTTCTCCAGTGGTCAGATGATGGGAGGGAGGTATGGTGGTTGCAGAGCTGATCTAGGGTCAAGACCTGGGTGTCTCCTTTCTCTCTCATTTCTTGACTTTGTCTACACTGCCAGGCTGGAAGCTGCTCTCACCTGGCCAGTCTGACCAGGTCTGGTACCTGCTGTACTTCAGCCAGCTGTTCTGAATCAGAGGATTGTTTCACTTGTCCATAGGAATAGAGGTTTTGAAGGAAAAGAAAATTTTAAAAACAAAACCAATTAAAAAATGCACCTTTTCTTCCCCAAACTCTACCTCATGGCTGACATCATGGGAAGATGCCTCAGTAACAAAGAATATTGTTTGGCTTTGTCCTTCACATTCCAAGCTCTATCCACTTTCCAGCAACCATACACATTTCATTTTTTGCCTTTCCCATTCCAGATATTTTCCAATTTCTCCCAGGGATTTACCAAGACATGCTATATCAGGTTAGTTTTCTTCTCTTCCTGTTGGCCTCCCCTCTAATTCCACGCCCAAATACGCATACAGAAATTATCTCGTGATTCAGGGCAACACGCAGCTCTTCAGATCTGCCACGAACCATAGGCAGTTGACTTCTCTGTTCCAAAATCTCTACTGTGAACCTGCATGTAGTCTAATTTTGAGTCAAAAAGAAATGTTAGGGATGACCACATGCTAAATTAGGACCTTACCTGGCTAAATTAGGACCCTACTAACAACTATTCTGATCTGAGAAACATATAGCAGCAATTTATCACAAGGATTTATGCTGAGCTGTGTTGACCAGTCCAGATGAATGCATATGTCATGCAGAAGAATGTTTTCTTCCTCAGGTGGAGCTGAGCCGACTCTGTGCACAGCCGCAGCCTGCTTGCTTGTCTTTGAGTCCCTCATCCCTCTGCTCTGCTTGACTCACTTGTCCACCTGTTTCAAACCTTGCAAATGGTTTCTGTTTCCCAGTTCTCTTTTAACTGGACAACAAGGCACATTGCTTCTTCCCACGTAAATCACATTCCAGAACTTTGATGTCATCTTTATTTCCCTCTCTCAAGTCATCTGAGAAACCCTGTGCAGGATGACACCTTCTTTTTTACCTCTTCTTTGAGAGGCAGCTGAGCAGGGCTACTTACATACTGCTGGACCCTTTAGCATCAATAACAGCCCATCTCAGAGCACTGATCTGCTGAAGCAGTATGGTCTGCCAGGTCCCACCTTGTCTGAGAAAAGGTTTTTCACTAATAACACTGTGGTCCCTTCTGAAGACAAGGGAGAGACAAGAAAGGGATTAGAATTTGGCAGTATGGTTTTATTGTTGGCACAGCTGCTATGTGAACTATAGCATCAAACTCAGAATTTCAACAAGGCACCTTACTTGATGCTTTTCAACCTTGCCTGAGTTTACTATTTAGGTTCATACTGAGGTGTTTTATTAAAAGCAGGCTAACTTCCAGAGGCCTTGAGTGATCTTGCCTTCCTGTTCTCTTTGCTGGAGCCAAGTTACCAAAGCAAAATGCTTTCAGCTGTTTTGTTGAGATAAGAAAGGGTATTAGTGTTAAGTCAACTGGGGTACCTCTGTCTTATGAACCACTCTAAAGATGGCAAGAATTCTTCTGGCTATGTGGGGGAACTAAAATAATCTATTCATAGTTTTCTTACCTTGACAAAATACAGGGAGTGACTCAAATATGTCCCATCCTTATGGAAATTAATTGTGTTAATGGGATCATTAGAATTTAGAGCTACTGTCATCAAACTGGTTTTTGCAGCTAATGATGGTTCTTGGGAAGATTATGTCATAATGAAGGCGGAGAATCTGGTCATCTATATATATGTGATCTGACCTGAGCCCTTTCTTTGGGTCTCATTGAGCAATGCACTAATAGAGTCAACGTAGGCAAACAGCTGCCACCCTCACCATGAAAATAGAAGGTGCCTCAGTGGTCCTTGCTCTGGCATTTTTCTGCTTCTTCTCAGGTTAGTAACTTCTGATGTTCTCTGTGCTGAAATGTGGGACTGGCAGAGGACACAGCGTGGGAGCTCCCATAAAGGCAGTGAGACATCGGATTAGAGAGCCCTTGTTCTTTAAAAAGCATAGTGACATAACCGGAAGACCATAATTTCTTACTGTACTACTTGTATTGATTTGATATAACACATTCTTGGTAACAGCTCTTTCTCTTGTGTGTGAAAATGTTTTCTCTTGCGTGTGAAAAGTTCTATTGATAGGTGAGAGTATCTATTATTAGTAGATGTAGCAGCTTAAGAACAAACAAACTCAGTTGTGTAAGTGGAGGAATACAAATTTCCAAGCAGATTGAATTTTATGTTAGAAGATTGACTTTGAAAAAAGTGTAATGCAATTTTTGGTAAATTCAGAAAGCCAGGAATTTCTTGTCACACTTGCTAAGAACTCCATTTTTGTATGTCTACAATAGAGATTTTAGCAGGAGTTTAAGCTTGATGCAATGGTCTTTACTGCTTATTTCTGTTGAAAAAGAGCTAGTGGAGGATTTCTTGATGGCTTCCTGTGATGCTACTGATGATGCAAGAGGAAAGGATGAAATGTATTATACGGGCTCTAAGTGGCTTAGTAAAAAGAAACATATATCAGCTGCTTATCTGCTGACTCATTATTAATTTGGCAATTTATGTGAGGTACTGCAAATGGAATGGGCCTTGAAAAGGAATTTGAAGGTTTAGACAAACAACAATGATATGGCCTAGCTTTGGTATCCCGATTTTAAGGGATGAAGATAAAGCAACAAAAAAATTTGGGTAAGGTTGATACAACTACTGAGGCAGTGGGATATAATAATAAACAGTGAATCATCCTTGGAATTTGGACTTTAAGCCTGAGAAAAGTAACACAGTAAAAGGAGGACACAAAGACACAACAAAGAGATGTGCTTTTGCATTTGAATGACAAAAAGTGCAATGTTCCAGAAAGTCTCTAATGCCCAGTCCTTTCTATTAGTGTGCAATAATGCACTGGATTAGCTCTTATCTAGAGGTTATTTGGGTGGATTAGGAAACTGCATCAAGTATTTTAATTAAATGCTTTTGGTTTAAAATTTCCCTTCAAAGGTTTTTGTATGGTCTCATTGTTGGTTTTTCTGTTGCAGATGCTGCCAGCCAAGCTTCGATTAAGGCGAGTCCAACCTTTTCTATTCTTATTCTCCTTTTGTTTTGCCAGCTATACTGCTTAATGGATGCTCTGAGCAAAGCCATTTAGGCAGGCTAATCTTAGATATCATAACACTTTTTCAGTGGTGGAAAAAGCAGTGAAATTTCTTCATGTTGAGAGACAATACTTTTGTAATACAGCAATGGCTCTAGCTGACAGTGTATATTTGGTGCACTATGCTGAGCACATACCCGAACAGCTCTGAGCTGGAAATCTCATGAGATGAAGTTAGAAATGTCATATATTATATTTCTAATGATATTTCAGGATTTTGTTTCTGATCAGAAGCTGGGGTTTCTGCTGGATAACTTCCTAGTTTGATAATTAAAAGAATTAAGGCAAGTCCTTTGAGTCTCAGGAAATTATGTGATCCAATGACTGAGAAGTCAGCTCTGTTCGCGTTTTAATCAAACAAGCTTGTCTCTCCATAGTAAAGACCCTTTGGAAAACATAGTAGCCCAAAATAACTAAATGCTTCATTGATTCTCCTTCTCCTGCATTTCGGTTACCCAGCAGAAGAGGCAATTGGTTGCTGCAGCTGTGTTTCCTAAGAGGATTGTCCTTTTCTGTGCTTCAGTCTTTCACCTGAATTGCTCTTCAGTCACCCTAGTAGATTCATTACTCTTGCATCCCACTGGAACTTCTAGGGCTATATTTTCCACTCTTGACTAACTTTATAACACGGATTCCTCCCCTGCAGCGGGTAGCAATTTGCAGCTGCACGCAAATTAAATATGTATTCCTTTTCCCATTAATAATGGCCCTCTCAAGATGTTTTGAACTTTCTCCTTGTCTTTTTTACCTTGGGAGTCACAAGTAGGGCTCTGGGTGCTGCCTGTACCACATGTGGTGTGCAGTGAGGGATAGGGATGAGGAGTGTGGTAGCCCCAGGGCTGGTGTTAACAAACTGTGTTGAGAGCACATAGTCAACCCAAAAAAGCTTAAACAAACTGTTCTCAGGATCAAGATGGCCTCTCAGGGGGCCTCCACTGACTGCTCTCCTCTGTGCTTTTCAGGATGAGTGCACGAAAATTTGGTCACTTCTGCGCAGTGGGAAGTTTTCCTGTCCCACCACCAAGGAGCACATCAGCAGCCCGGATGGAAAAGCAGACCTCAACAAGTGCCTGATGTGCCAAAGGCTGCTGTGAGTATCGGCTCCCCAGTGGCTCAGGCGCTGGCTACAGTAGCCACACTGCCCATCTGCAGCACGTCCTCCTCTCCCATAGCAATAAGCCCACTCTCAGGACTCTTGTCCATGGTGTAAAGTCATAGTTCTGGGCTAGACAGACCAGGCAGTAGCTCTTCAGAAAACCTGTGACCTCAGTAGTGCTCTCTAGCTCCTCACATAGGGTGTGAGGAGCAAATCCAGGGTGAAAACACTTGTTTCTTGATTCCATAGATGGTGTTTAGTAGGATGGAAACACCTGGAGGTTAGGCAGAGAGAAAGGATGGCAAAATGCCCCCAGTGCAGAGATGCTAAAAACTCTGGGCAGGTCTCACTGGGCCAGAGTCCCAGCGTTGGTCCATCCCACTGCCTTGCGCAAACGGGGAGGTGGGGTTGCCAGGACTGGACTTTAAACATTAGCTATTTTGGTTTTAAGTTCGAAGACTGCATGCTGCTCTGTCACTCATCCTCCCTTTCTTGCAGGGAAAAAGACTCAAAAAACAAAGGGAGTGGTGAAGAGGTGAACAGGAATGCAGACTCCTTGGGAGAGGTGAGGTGAAACGCTGCTACTAAAGCCAGTTTTATTGGCATGCTGGGAGCAGGACAATGTGGTGGCATTGTGTCTTCCTCTGACCCACTTGCTGAGTGCATTTCCTTGTCTGAAGTGGGAAATGCTGGCTTGGCCAATGGGGAAGGTCCCAGCTATGTGCCTGTAATGGGAGCAGGGAAAATATACTCTTCCTTTGGAAGATGGTCTAAAGGAACTCAAGGCTTTGTGCCATCCATGAGCATAAAAGAAACGAAAACTCCTCGGGGCTCCTCACAGGCAATCTGGTCCCTTTCAGACAATTACTAACATTGCATATATGGTCCGTGTCTGACCCAGAGCACAGGCTAAAGGGATACCTGCCTGTTTATAAGGTACACCATTGGCATCTGACAAATAATTAATAGCAATGATGATGTATGTGAGCTCTGACTAGGGCAGGGTGTGGGAGCAGGCTGACTCTAATTGTCCCTTGTTTATCTTGTTGATGCACCTGGCTGGTTTCTTTTACCCATAGCTGTTTTTCTAGATAGCAGGTCTTTATGTGGAGGGAGTTGTCTTTTGAGCCTTGGGTTTTTATTCTAGATAGGAGTGAATTGGTTTCCATCAGATAGTGTTGGCTGCAGGATTTATTTTTTTCTTCACATCTGGTTAAGCAGGGTCGCTTTCTAGCTCTTGTGTGCCTGGACAATTTAAAAGCTTTGTAAAGCACAGCTGTCCTAAGGGAGATCTTTCTTTAAACACCTGACATGGCAAAGTGTGATTCTGAAGGCAAAGGGACACTTTCAGTGTTAGGAAGAGACCTACACTGAATTTCTTTGTTCAGCCATAGATTTTCTGTCTGGCTTTTGGCAAGTAATTTTCTGGGCTTGACTTCCCCATCTGCAGAGCTGGGATAAGTTATCAAACCATCTCCTCTACACACTGGGGGGGGGGTGAATAATGCATTACGGATATACGCTTGGCAGATAACCTTAAAAGTGCCGTATAAAAGAACCTAAAGACTTCACATATAGCATGTTTCTTCTGCTACAAACTGCTTGTGTGCCCTGAAAGTTATAGAAAAGCTGTTCAGAGGAAAACAAAGACCAGGTTTAAACGTTTAAGCAGGTTTTGCTACAAAAGCCTCTGGTGAAATGGAGTGCTTTGCTTCACATAACACATAATGTCATGTTAAGTGGAAGGTAAAAATACACACTTCCTCCTCCAGAATACCTGGGAATGTCAGATGTGCAAGGATTTATTTTATTTTTAATGCCTGCAGCTTCACCTTTTTTACTGTGTGTGGATTTTAAAATTCTTGGTACTGTGTTCAGTCATGAGAGATGGGAAAAATGACTTCCTCAGTCAAAATTCAGTGGGAAATTATAGCTTTTATACATGGAGCAGAACCTAGGTCCTTTAGGCAGGCTCCTGCATGTCTTACCTATTAGGAATAGAAATAAGGCTGCCCTGGCTGCAAAAGACAGATCTGCTCATCTAAACATACTAGTTCATTTGGTTTATGTTGCATGCTATAGTTTAAGAGAACACATCAGGCAAACTACGATTTTCCACTTAGTTACACCTCAAGGAAACAAAATAGTGTTTGAAATGTAATTTGTTGGGTGGATAATCCTTTGTGGATTTCTTGGAGATGCATCCCTGTCAGTGTATCTGTGTCAACCCACACTCTTGGCATTTCCACAGGATGACTGCCGAGAGTTTCGGGACCTGTTCAAGAAAGGAAAACTTTCCTGCACCAGAGAAAATGACCCTGTCCGTGATTCCTCTGGGAAGCAGCACAGCAATAAATGCATCATGTGTGCAGAGAAGTTGTGAGTAGAGGAAAAACACAGCCTTTTCTGTTGAGAAAACAGCTGCTGGAGGGACCCTGTTGCCAATGCCAGTGGTTGGCATCACTTGCCTCTCCTGCAGCCGATGGTGGGGAAAGCCTCTTGCTCCCTGGAGCACTGTGGTATTCACTTTCTCATCTTGCTTCTCTTCCAGCAAAAGGGAGAATGGACAGGAGTCATCTAAAAACAGACAAAAGGAAGATAAGGTGAGATTAAAGTATTAGGCAGGTCAATATAAAACTTTATTGGATTTTCACCCAAGATAGAGAAAAGGCAACATTATTCTACTCAGTTGCTCTTTCTCCACTGATTTAATTTTGAGATCCACTTTCCTTTCCCTCATTTTGTGTTTGTATTCTCAAATCCCCCAAGTGAATAACTTGTGCCTGAACTTTACAGTTTATCCTGCTGACCTGTGGATCTAGGGACAGGCAAATCCCATCAGAATAAGAAACCAGGTGTGCTGTGCTATCCTAGAACCTGGCTCAAGGGTGAAGAATCAGTGCTGCTGAAGGTGCTAATTAGGTGAAAAAGAAAGACTCTAAATCTGAACCCTGCAAAGCTCACAAGATCCTTGTATTCTGGGAGATTTCAGCCCTGAGCTGTCTCCATGGACTTGCGGCTTTCCTTGTTGGAAACTTTGGTGATGCTGTTTGTCACCTTATCTTTACAGCCCTGCAGCCACCATGTTCCTGCACACTGGTGTTTGCCTGGTAAGGGGAGAAAAAGCTGTTTTAGAACACTTACCTTTTGACTTCTCCTATGGTAGGGACTGGAGTGGTCTCCTTAAGCCTCAGTCTTGGGCATAATCCTGTTTCAGTGCTTTTCCTAATGACTTTTGGAAGTGTAAGTGAAATCTGCTGATGACAAAGCTGGGAGGCAGCATCAGCAAAGAGGATCAGCAGATCACTCAAGACTAATTGGATAGAGCTGAGGCCTGGAGTAATAGAAACAGGATAAAATGTAATAACTGGGAGATCACAGAGTCAGTGATTAACAAGAATTCCTGCTTGTCACTTAGAAGGGACAAAGGATAAGAAAGCCCTGCATTTATTAGTGGGTCAGGCACACGGCACACCATGAAAAAGGCAAAGGCAAGTCTTGGATGTACGCAGCAAGGTTTTTGCAGCAGAGGTCAGGAAACTAAGAGAGCTCCATATATGCTAATTTAAAGGAAGACTGAGGGAGGCTATTAGGAGAAGGCAGAGCTGTTTTAGAGGCAGAGGATTGGGGTGCAGAGCTGGGTTTGTCACAGGGAATAAGGCAGAGAAGGGCTGGGAGAGTTTTCATGGGCTTGTTGGGGAGGGAAAGCATTGCTTGAGCTGCACAGGAATGTGAGTACAGGCTGGTGATGGGAAGAAGCAGTGAGGGTCTCAGGTGAATTGGGGTGCAACAGTTATTTCTGATGGGAGCAATGTAAGGTGGCTGCTGGCCACAACCAGAGCAGGGTCATCCTGTGCTGGGTTGCGTCTCTCCTCCTCATGGCTCTTTTGGCTCTAGGGAATTGTGGGGCTTTGTACTCTGGGTATTTTGCTGAGGTTAGTCCAGTCTCGGCAGAGCTGAGATGCCCTGGCTGGGATGCAGAACACAATCCTGGGGAAATCCTCCCCTGGCAGAGAGGATGAGATGCTGGAAACTTCTGAGCAAAGCAAAGGATGAGGCCAGTGACCCCCTAAGGACCTTACTGCAATCTAACCAAAACTCTCCTACACACAAAACAGGCAGAAAAGTACAAGTGTTGAAACCTACCTGTAAAAAACCGAAGTGTGATGCAGTTACTTACCCTTTGTACTTGCTGTTTGGAATCAGCTATTGCAGCGCCTGAAACAGTTGAAATTAGGGAGGTTGAATGTTTACATTTGCCCCATGTTGCATAACAGGGGAAAATTAACATGGTTTCTGTACAGTGATTTTGAACAGGGAACAAATTAATCATCCATTCTGCAAACAGACTCCCACTGCTCTTGGACTATTAGGTATATTTACATGGTGCTTTTATGTTTTAACTACTGCTTCTTGATTGACATGGCCCAAAGCGTAGTTGGTTTTGGGGATACTACTTGCTTTGTAAGTTATTATCTGAGCTACAATCTGGGAATAGGCTGTAGCTGTGTATTAAGTATGTTGGGAGAAGTGGGAGGGACTTCAATACTGTATCAGTCACATCACTGGCATGCTTTGGATAGCCCAACAAGGAGAATAATAATTAGTTGGAGCATAATAATTAGTAGAAAACTCCCAACACGTGCTGTGCAGGCAGAAGGACCCGTAATTTTTCTGACTCACTTTTCTCTTATATACTAAGTGACTGCTACTGCACGCCCTCTTCTCTTGCCCACACCCAGGCTCTCCTGTGATGCATTTGTGATGCTGCAACACTTTTCTGGCAGGAAATATCACGTTTCTAGGAACTGGATCAATAAGACAAGGAGGACAGGGTACCCTAATCACTGCCCTCCTTCTGCAGGACGTTTGCAGTGAGTTTCGCTCCCAGTTTGAAGCTGGTGGACGACTGTCCTGCACGAGGGAGAACGACCCTGTTCGGGATTCCTCTGGCAAACAGCACATCAACAAATGTCTCATGTGCGCTGAGAAGTTGTGAGTACAGCTTCCTCTGAGCCACAACAGCAGAGAGGGAAACCTCCAGCAGCAAAACTGCAGCTTCTGCCTCTGAAGCTGCACCAGAGCAATGCCTGGGAGAGAGTCCTGAATCCCAGTGGCCCTTCAAGAGAGGTTCCGGCAGTAGGGCTCCAGCCATTGCCCCTCTTCCCACTTCCCTTTCAGCGCAAAGGGGCCAGGGGCAGGTGAGAAGCAGCGTGGAGCAGAGAAGGAGAAACAAGGCTGATAGAGAGGAAACCCTTTCCCAGGGGACTGTTGGGCACGGGCAGCTCCTGAGGAGTTTCCCACATGTGTACTTTGCCTTCCAGATGCTCTCTCCCTACTCCCATAGAGCATATGCAGAAGCAGCCCTGATATGAAAGCAACCACCTGGATCCAGGATGTAGCGTACAGTGGGAATGGTGAGGAGAAGGGAGAAGGCTTAGGGGTGGGAATTAGGAACAGGACCACCAGAAACAGGGACTGCGATGGGGAGGTGGTGCCTCATGTCATGACATTAGCTTTTATAGGGCAGCCTTGGGTGCTGGTGGCAGTCACACTGCCATAGCAATACCTTTTCCTTTTCTCCCCTTCTCCTAGAAAAAAGGAAGCCCAAAGAGGAGGTCAGTCTGGTGGAACTCGCCAGCTCAACAAACAAGCTTCAGGGAATACAAGCCAGGTGAGATGGAGCTCAGAGCCTGCTCTGAGCTCAGAGAATGGGGCTGGTAAGAGTCTGGGATCCTGATGGTCAGCTTGGGCGTGCGGGAGGCTGGAACCAGCTGACAATGGGGGAGAAACAGGTTGTGTTGCAAAGCCTCACTCATCTGTGGGATGAACCTGTCTGTAAGCACACAAAGTGGGCATGTCTGGACTTGACAGAACAGCCCCTCTCACTTTCCCAGTGGTGTGATGCTATATGAGAGATAAAGGGCAGGTTCAGGCACCCACAGTCCTGTAAGACCTCAGATGATAACATTTGGTGGGTATGGAGCAAACATCAAACCTGTTTCTCCAAGAACAGCTCCATAAATCTCTGCTTCTGGGAGGAGAAGGGGGAGGACAGGAGCTGCTTTAGCTTTGTGAATTCTCTAGTTGTGTAAAAGTTGTTTCTGTCTTTGGTTGTTGAATGTGATCCTGCCCCTTTTACAGAAGGGCTGCGGTGGTTCAGGGTCACAGCAGGATATGAATGAGAGACGTCCCTTTTCATCCAGTAGAGGGTAAGTTCAGCAGTGCCTGGGATGACAGCCTGTCCCCCCAACCACCCCACAAGCCCTGGCATCAGTTTCTGTCCCCTTCCACTTACATGTTTTTCCCTAGAGGTGGTTAGGACACTAACTGGAGCCAGAATGGTTCAGCACTATCTGGGGTAGAGAATTGAACACTGGTCTTTGGTGCTCAGTACAGCACTTCTTCCCTACATCACTGGCTGAGCTGGTGATGGGGAAGAGGCACATAGAGCGAAGCATGTTCTCATGCAACCTTTGCTCCTTTTTGGCCTTGGCTTTCTTGTGTGTGAAGCACCAGTGGTTGCTGTGCTCAAAATCCCTCTTGGGACACCTTTTTGCTCAGCAAACCCTGCTTCCTGGCAGAGCATACGTGTCTGCCTGGCCCTGGCTCACCCTCACCCGCTGGCTTGGAGTCAGCACCTGGTGTACCACGTGCTTTCTGGCACTGGTCAGGCACTTCTGTTTGTTTTGTAGCTGCTGGACCTGAGCAGGACCCAGCTGCTGTTTTTTTCGGAGCCTTTGCTGGGGACCTCTGAGATTTCTTACTTTTTAGCTGGTGCAATTCCTTTGTCTCCCCATCCACCAAGTGATGCCAGAGCCCTGGGGAGAGGAGGCACTTGGGCTGAGCGCAGGGCAAGGTTTGTCCTGCTGCCTCCCTGCTAGCATGTGACTGAGGGGTTTCTCGCCCTCTCCTTTGTCAGTGGGTGTGTGAAGAGGGTGGGAGTCTGTGGAGAGGGTGGGTTTGCACTGTGCTCCCCTTGCTCAGGACAGGTGGTGTGATGAGCTGTCTCTCTGCTCTTCCTCCCTTCCAGCCCACAAGGAAACACAGCTCAGAGCGGTAGGAACTGCAAGACAGCACCTGGCCGCAAGACACAGAGCAGGGACACCGATGCCTACCGGCTGGTAATCCCACCTCCTGCATCTCGGGTGGCATCTGCATAGGCAGAAATGGGGACTGCTCCCATGGGATGCTCTGCTGGTGCTGAGCCCCTACCAGCTCCTTCCCCAGCAGCTCCTCCTGTTCTTGCTGTGGTCCTAAAGCTTCTTGGAAGGGTTTGAACGAGTGGAATCATCTGTACGCCAATGCTAGCTCCTATATCACACAGTACGGAAGCAGAGAGAAAGGGAGTGGGGCTGGATGTGCCCATATGGGCCCCTCCGAAGCCAGTTTTGCTTCTGGGCTTTGCTCCTTATGGAAGTACATCAGCTATGGGGGTGTTGATCTTGACCTCAGGCTGGGTGCCTGCCCCACATGTAGTGAAAGTGGGGTGAGGAGTGCCACTCTCCTCATGCTGAAAAGGTGCTGAGTTAAAGGCCATGGCGAGAACAGTGTGATGGAGCTGACCAGGCGATGAGGACAAGATTGGCAGAAGGAAGGAGTGCTAAAAGGGGAAACACTGAGTGATAGATGATGCCTGTGTATGGAATAATGTGGGAGGAAGATGGGGGTGTCTGCTGTCCCTTGTCTCCATGAAAATGCAATAGTTTCAACAGAGCTAAAAGTGGAAAATATGAAACTAATAAGAAAAAATAAGTTACCATCAAAAGGGAGACTAAACCGTGGATCTCGCTGCTATAGGGTGTTGTCAAGGGCTAGGATGACTAAAAATACTACCTGATATTTTAACCCCTCTAGCATTTGCATAGACTGCTTTAATTAACATTCTGGAAGGGAGAGAAAATGTGTTTCTGTGGATCTTACTACAAACTGCCTTAACGTTTTCTGAAGCCTTTTCCACTGACTACTTATAGTAAAGGGATATTTGAGTTAAAAACCCTGGTAGGTGTTGCAGGTACAGCAATTTTGGTGCATTCCAGAGGAGGCATGAGGTGTAACAATGCCAGTGTGCTTAAGCGCTTAGTGGTATTTCCTGGTAGCACCGGAGGAGGAGTGGATGCTGATGAGCCTGATTGACAAGAAGTGATTCAGAGAGCAAATCTCCTCCTCTCCTCTTTCCAGGGCCACCTGTGGGCTTTGTCACGGGAATGCCTAAGTGCCAAAGGGATAGTGGCACTGGCTGCTGGGATCGATGATGTGTTGGGCTGCGGTGGGGTGGCTGGCTGCCCTGGGCAGTAATGCAGGCACACGGGTCATGCTGCGGGTAGCAAAGTCTGGCATGTAGGAAGGCATCTAGCAGAGAACTGCAAAGGTCAGCATTGTCTGCTTTCACGTCATCCGTAATTACCCAGACGAGGGAGGAAGCAACACATTAATGGAATTAGCAAGTGATGCTTAACTAGCAGGTGCTATCACAGCATCCCAACATCACCATCCTCCCTATGCCACCTGGTCTGAAACCTTCCTTCCCTCTGGGGCTTCCTGCTCTGTAGCACTGCTGATAAGCCACCATTTTGAGCTAAATACGGCGTCTCCAGGTGGGACAGGGGGTGGAATGTCCTCTCCATCTCGGGTGCATTTCTGTTCTGATTGCACAATTTGCAGTTGTTGCACCATGTTCTGTAGCTCCTAGAGATGGGAGCCCATTAGTCAGTCCTCCTTGGTCTGTTTTTCAACACCCGGACCAGTGGTGGGTGACCAGGCTGAGGAAGGGGATGTGTGTGTGCCAGGCTGCAGTATCTCTGACCTCTGCTGTTTGAAATTTGCTATGACTGCCAATACCCATTCCGGCATGCTTGTAGCATGGGCATCTAAGTGTGAGAGGCATTTCTGGTTCCCGAAGGGGCTCTTCGTTCTTGGAGTTTGTCCTGGTTGTGCCACGTGTGGCTTGTAAGGAAAGCTGTGTCTAAATGTTCTCGTTGTCGTGCTCAAGAGGAAACAAGAGGGCACCCTTAATTAGTCATAGCTGCTCATATCTGCTTGTGTCTCTTCATACAGTGGGTGTCAGAAGTTGTGCTGCGTGTCTCACCACCCTCAGGCAGCGCGAGGCTGCTGCAGAGGGTTTTCCTTAATTTCGGCTGATGGGTTTTGTCTTTGTTCTCGGGGATGAAAGAGCATCAAGGCCCTGATAAGGACTAGGGTCAGGCAGCAGTTCTCATCTTCTTGTGGATCCCTGGTGAGAGAAATAAACCTGCTCTGTGCAAGGCAAATCTGATGAGCGGGCCTGTGACAGGCAGGGCAGGCTCTGTCCCTAAAAGCTTGGCTGGCCGGTCCAGCAAGAGACACTATCTTCTACAAGCCTGGCATTGCTGGAGGAGTGCTGGACCTGCTCCAGGGCAGAGGGGCCCCATGGAAAGGCTTGGTTTGTAAGTGCTTTTAAGTCACATAGAGGAGGGTCATGCAAGTGAACCAGCACCAAATGTGATTTCTTTCTCTCTTCAGCTGGACTGTGATCGAATTCTGCACGGGGTAAAGGGTGGAAGGATTTTCTGCAGCAAATCCTCAGAACCAGTCTGTGGCACTGATGGGAAAACATACAAAAATGAATGTGACTTGTGTTCAGCTGCCATGTGAGTAGGCGGAGAGATTTCAGTAATACAGGGCCATCCACCATTCCCGAGTGTCTTTTGCAGCACAGTGTTTGTTTTGATATATCATGACTCATTATCAAGTGTGTCCTTGGTGCCTTGCTGTTAAGCAAACATAGATCAAAATGCTTGAGATTAATCTGATGACAGCTAATTAAGATACACAAGTTTCCAGAGTCCCCTATTCCCTTTCTGCCCGATTGTAAGATTGCTTGGGGACTAATAAATGCCATCATATTGGAAGTAGCATCAAAGTATTAAGGAGCCCACAGAGGAATGTCATCCTGATGGCAGAGTGTTGTGGCATTGCAAGTGAATAATAAGCAATGTCTTGTCCTCACTTTGCAGGAAAGCTTCAAACTACATCACGGTAAACTATCGAGGTGAATGCAAAAAGCCTGCTCCTGAAGTGGTAAGCGGCATGCCATGGCTGGGCTGGGGAAACATCAATCTCTTCTTTCCCCTTGTGAAACTCTCCTGCCAGCACCATCTCGGCTTGTGGGGACCTGATCCAGGGAGCCACAATGGAGAGTGAAAAATGAGAAGTAGATGTCAGGCCTAGACCCTGCAGGGAGGGTAACCAACAGCTTAATTGAATGAACAAGTTACTGAACCAACAGGTTAAAGCTGTGGTCTGCAGCTGCTCTTCAGCCACCTGGCGCAGCACACTGCTATTGTCAGGGTCAGCTCGGGGCATCCTGCAGGCTGGGAGGGCTCTGTTGTACCAAAAGCATTGGAGCACTCCATCTCCTCTTTTCTTTCTTTTTTTTTAAATTCTTCTGGGGTGAGATGTTGCTGAGAGGTGGAGAAAATCACCAAAGTGACATCTTTGCTGTGTATAGCACCCCACTTCTCACTCCAAGTGCATGGTGGGAAGCCAGTCTGGTCCCTGCACCTGCAATGGTATCATTAGAACCCCAGGAGTGGAGTGCTTGTGGTCCAGATGTTTAAATACAGGTTCACACTTGGCTTTAATATATAACCTGGGCTGTATGGTAGGAGTGTGACATTTCTGAGAAAACGTCTGGCTTTCCTCTTGGGACTTTGGTGAGGACAGAAAGACCAGAACTGTGTGAACCATAAAGGGCTCTTTTCCCAAATAATACCCAGGGAGATGGCTGGGAAATGAAAATTATTCACTAGGTGGCACGCTTTTGGGAAAGGTCTTGAGCCTTGACATCTTGTGTGATCCCACATAGCAGATGAGTTAAACATTCATCAGCTGTACTTTGTCTTTCCACCAATGGAAGCTCGTCAGTCTCCAGCAGTTTGATTTGCTGCCAGGGTTTCCCAGTTTGTGTCTCTTGAGTGTGCAGGATGCCCTGCAGTGCCCTGGGAGGAGCATCCTCTGTATTGGCATGAACTCTTGAGAAACTGAATATTAATCCTGAGGGAAATACTGAGAATTGCTCCCCAAAGAGAATTAAAACATTGAGCCAGCCAAAGAGAAGTTCTGTAAAGTTTTGGATGGGAGCTTTTGCTTCTGAATACAAGTTTGCTATCAAGGTGCTTGTAGGCAGCAAAGAGCTTTTCTGCGGGGTAACCATCATGCCATAGGGTCATATCATGCCTTCCTCTGCTTGCTGTCAGGATGCCTGCAGGTCCCCAAAACATTAGAAAGTAAACATCCCAGCTCCTCTTTCTCTCTTCTGTGAAGCAGCAGAGTGCTCTCTGTTGTTGAGAAAGTTGAATAAATTGCAGTGCAGAGAGAAATTATTTTGCCTGTGATCATAGTGGAGGCCTTTCTGTTTCAGCCTTTAGTGTGATAGAGCCACTGTTGGCTTGTGTATTCTGGGGCCACAGGGAGACCAGGCATTATGCAAGCCTGTGGCTCGTGCTGCCGAAGACAGATGAGACTGGGCGTACTGTGCAGCTGAAAACCAGAGGGGGTTCCCACAAAACTGTGCTTGGTCTGGGATTCCGTGCCGTTCTGTGTTTTATCAAGCTGTTACAGCTCTCAAGCCTTTGCAATTAGAGGAATACGCCATTTACTGAAAGTCAGACAGCTTGTAGCTGTGTTAAGTATTCCAAGGAGAGTTGAATGCAATTAAAAGGGAAAGTGATAAGCTTTTTCCTTTGGGCAAGAGAAACAAACCCCCATGCACGATGGATTGTTTTACTTATGTATATTATGTCACCCGAAGAATCAGACTAGAAATTTATAGAAGCTTTTGAATGACAAACAGAGCAATGTTATTTTCAGCGCTGAAATTCATGGTCACTTTCAATATGATGAATTCTTCTTTCTGCTGAAGAGTCAGGCACTTAATATATGCTACTTAAACCCAGAGGAAACCAGCTCCAGCAGTGCTTACGGCATCACAAATGGTTTTAGACAGTTGCAATGTGCAGAATGAAAATGCAAAGGCCCCTCTTTAAGCTTTGGGGGAAGATAAGAAGTTGTTACCTCCAAAATGTAATATTTCCTTGAGTTGTGTTTTGAAACTATCCATGGAGAGCATTTTGTTGCCTGACAAAATGTGTGTCCAAGTCACCTCGTCCCTTTGCAGCTCAGTGTCTGCATCCATTCCTGAGGGGAAACCTCCTACAGGATTTCCACACTACCTGCCTGGTGACCACATTGCCTTCAGGGGGGGAAGCTTGTAGAAAAGGGTGAGAGGAGTGGGGCTTGAGAGGGATCTGACACCAGAGGGTGTATCTGTACAGTGCTGTGGTGGAAAACCTTGCATGCAGGGATATCCTGCCCCTGGGGCCTCAGGCTGGCCAGAATTCAGGCTCACCACCTTCCTTGGGAGGTCTGTGCCATGACCAAATTCCTTTGATCCTGTTCTGCTTTATGGAAGATAAATGTAGGTTTGAGTCCTGGGTTTAGATATCTTTGTTGGTAAGCTAGCTGGCCAGGAGGTCCTGCAGGGCTATGTCATGTGGATGAACTAACTGTGGGGTTTTCCAGCACATTTCACTTTCAGTGCTGCATATCTTGCAGTTCCTGTATTTGTTCCAAGGTTTTTCTAAGATCCATCCATCCATAGTCACCAATTAGTCAACAGGTCAGGGAACAAAGGGAATATCCAGTTTCTCTGTTTTAAAACAATCTGTTTCTTAACAAACAGACAACTCCCAGGTTTGCAGTGGACAAGTCTTGGTTTTCTTACAATGCCTGTTGTTTCATAATGCTTCTTTTTCAGATGGTGGAATGGGGGGGGGGAAAGGGGGGAGTAGGTGTAAAGCGGGACCTTTCCCAGTTATATAGTAGGTGTGGAAACCACCTAGCTTCAGGCTGAAATCAGTCTTGTTTTCCTAGGCTGGCAGTGACCCAGCCTGCCTACCCTGGTGCCAGGCTCTGCTGTAGCTCCATGTGGCTGCTGAGCTAACCAAAGGGGCTGTCACACTGATACTAATGCTTGGCAAGTGTCACACAGAAGTGGTCATGCTTGGGGGTGGACTTATTTTTTGCTCTTTCTTTCCAGAAGTAATGGAGCTCAGACTGCCAGCAAACACCAGGGATCAGCTGTGACCGAAGGTACCGAGACTGGCAGTGATTTACTCCCTTCTGTCCAGCCTGTCCTCTGGGGCTTGTGTTTCACAAGGGTTGGAGTGTCCTGCTGTTCTTGGACAGGCTGTAGAGATGGTGCAAAGGGCTCTTGCAGAGTGCTTTTCCCTCTTATCACAGCCAGGGCATGGTGAGGCTGAGCCCGTGGGAACATGCAAACATTCTAGTGCTGTGGTGGTGGGCCCTACCCATTCCTTTTACCCTGCCCTGGTTTTTCAATCCCTGCTGATTGGGAAGGACACTGTCAGAGGAGCATGCTGCTGTCCCCCATCATGGGGAGGCAGGGGTGGCCTAGAACCCCTACAGAGTGTGGAAGTATCAGCTTTAAGGTTTTCTCATAGTCCTTTCAGGTCCCTCCACTTTCTGGGACTATAGTAATAAACTGTCTTCCCCTGTCTCCCTAGGGCAAGTAAAGGAAGAGATGATGTTGAGCATCAGGAGAGCTGCCGAGTCCCCAGGACTGCAGAGCTGTCTTCATCCCCATCTGCGGCCAACGGGCCCTGTCTTGCTCAGGTGGAGGGCAAAGGGCTGTGGGGATGCAGCGGTGTCTTCCCAGATCTGCCCCACGCGTGCCGTCGCGGTCTCTGCTGCCTCGCTGTGTCTTTAACGTGCTTCTACAATAAAGATAACTCAGCATCTTCATGTCACTTTTCTTCACTGAGCCCCATGGGAGGGACACATCAGTCCCCTCTCCAGATTTACACTGCATGTCCCTTAGGCAATAAGTAAGTGCAGACGCCCCTGGGGTGCACCAGCTGCTGTAAATACCCAGTGAAGATGTTGGACCCAAGGAGGAAGAGCATGATCTGGGGTTTTGTGAGGAGGGACCAGGGGTTAGGTTCTCTCCAAATCAATGTGGGGTCTTGGGTCAATCACTTCACCACCCTTTCAGCACTTTTTTCTTGTCTGTAAAACAGTTATTAAAAGATAACTTACCTACCTCAGAGGGTTGTTTTGAGATTTTGATTGGTTTACATTTGGAAACTCACAGAGGAAAACTGGTTTTAAAGCACTACAGATGTTGGGCTGGCAGTTTAGCTGTTGCAATAAGTGTCCTCTTCCAGCATCCTCATCTGAGGCACTGGGAAATCCAGACCACTTTGTTCTGAGCAGCTGTGGGAAGTATATATACCTTGATGGATCACGTTGGATGGTGTGCGGAGTCCTGCCCCAGTGAAGCTGGAGCTGGAGGCAGCTGAGAAGGTCTCTGGGAACTGGAGGTGTGAATTTGTCCAGCAGGATTTCTTGCTCTGAGGGTGCAGGAGTACTGATGTCCTTGAGGCAGTGCTGGCTAAGCAGAAGCCTCAGCCATCTTGGTGGCCCATGGACCTTCACTATGCACTTCTTGGTCACCCTCCTGCTTTGGCCTGAACTTCCTCTCCCAAACCAGGCCCTGTAGGTACAAGGGCTAAGGCAGTGTTCACCCCCATCTTGAAGGGAGAGAGGTCCTTCCTCCTGGGTCCTGGTGCTGGGGAAGATGAAGTAGGGAAGTTCCAGGGTGTTGAATTACTTCAGCTATTTAATGCAAAGTATCATTGTTCTGAGATGTAACTGATTAACACACAGTTCTAAGTCATTTATATCTGAAACTGTTTTAAGATGGAGCCAGGTCTTTGAGCTATGGGGCTTGCTGGTGACAACGTATCTGAGAATGGGGTGAGATTTGCAGAGCAGAAGACTCTGATGGCGGGTTAACAGAAGCCTGCTAGCAGTTTGCATGCATTTCCTGTACTTTATAGCTGATACTTAAAGCAAATATGTTCTTTATTTGTCTAAACTTTATGGCAGAACATTTCTAGACCTTGAATGAACACAGACAGTGTTTGAGTCCATTTTAGCTGTGACCCAATATGTAAACACTTTTTGTTGCAGATAAGGCTACAGTGACTTTTTTTCAGATTTTGGCATGATTTTACCTAATATCAATTATTTTTTCTCCCACCAAAGACATGGATTTTACTTTTTCAATTAAGTTATCAAATTCTTTTTTTCTACTGCAGCTAATGAGAATTGATTTTGAGCTCTCAAAATGCTTACACACCTGTTACATTTTATTTCTGCTGATAATAAAATTGGATTTTATTATCAGCAGACCAACATAAATAGGTGTTAATATTTTATTTGCGGATTTTTAATGTGAGCAAATATTATGACTTAGAAATAAATTATGAACGCCTATTGCTACGTGGAAAATCCCCTCATTAAGTACAGTCATGCAGGGGCAAAGTCACCAGTTTGATCCTGGTTAGCTCTTTTGGTGGATGTGAAAGTTTTCTGCCTTTGAGCTACGATGAAACAAGTAAATTCTTGAATGTTATTTATGCAGCCTGGGAATGATGAATATCAGATAGTAAAAATGTTCTGTGATGATTTCTGCTCGCTGATTCCAGCTAAAATCATGTGCAGGGACAGCTACATGATTTTATCAAAGCAGTGCACAATTTGCGGCTAAATTCTTGCAAATGAAAATCAGCGCACTCAAAAGCTATTATGTTTTGTAGTGATTTCAAGCATTTAAGTTTTGAAATAATCGCTCATAAACCCTGCATTACCGTGCTCCAAAAGCAATGAGCTGATGAAGAAGGTTCCTCACTAGCCTTTTGTATCAGTATTTGATCACCTTCTGAGTTTCTCCTGCTGCCAGCAGAAATTATCTTCCACAAAAATCACAGCTGGTGATAAGGGTTCATTAATCAGATTCCAAACCTGTCTGCTGAGGTAGTGCAGGACCCTGATTACCTAAAACCGCTGTTGTTCATGGCTCTACTAGAGGTAACAATGCTGACTCCTTCCTGCTCTCAGCAGCCTGCCTGATCAGTCCCTTCTTGCTTCCAACCTCCTTTTGCAGATGGCTCTAAGGGCTCACCAATAATGTCTGTCCTGAGCAGCACTGTGTGCGGTGGAGCAATGCGTGAATGATGCCACATGTTATTTCTATGAGGTGCCTGGGGAGGAGGAGGCAAAAGCTCAAGGTGTGTTGGGGATTTATTCCCTTTTCTGTTCCGTTTGCTCTTGGTTGCCCTTTGTGTTGCCTTCTAATACAGTGATGAGGCCAAACCAGTCCTCTACAAAACTGGAAAGGTGCCAACACTCTGGGGATTCTTTAGTTTGCTGTAAATTATGTTTTATTAAGGGCGTCTTTTGCCAGTAACTACAGACCCCATGTGGCTCACAGAAGTTTCTGAGGTTTTGCAGAACTGGCATTATGACTCAAGAGCTTTGGTCTCCAGGCCTCTCTGCATGCTTGGGTTTTGAACTAAATTGTTCTCTGCAGGGACCTTGAGTCTCCTGCCTTTGATTTTTGCTTACTTTTCTCTCTCCCATAAAAAGTGTTGGCTATTTATGCAATTCTTCAGGACGTGCAAATGCTGCTTATGGTGTATAGGGAAGGTTGTTGACTCTGGCAGGTGCCTCAGCAGACCTTGAACTCACTGTGGTGTTTCTCAGTCCTCTGCAGCCCTGTCTATTTGGAGCTTTGTGATTCTGTCCACCAAATCCCTGCTGGTCTCACAGCCAGGGTGGAGGGAGAGCCTGTGAGTGGCAGCACGGTGTGCTCTGGCCAGGGGAGCTCTTGTGATCTGCTATAGTACACAGTGCCAGACATCCTGCAGTTTGGAGGCATTTGCTTTAAGAACTGAGCTGTGACATGAGAGCCTGATGGCATTTGCTCTGTAAAGCAACTCTGGGACTGCTGCAGAGCTCTTTTCTGGCTCTCCCTACATCCCTATGATGTTCAATCCCACTAAATAATTGCTGTGTAGGAGTACCTGGGGGTTTTAGCATTATTTGCCTTGATTATCGCAACTTCTGCTCTATGGCCCATCTGCTTTTACCCTGGGGACCAGTGAATGGGTGTCTCTCTCTCCTCTATGGCTCCTGTTTGGCATCTGTTAGCACCTCTGTCTTTTCCTGCAAGGCTGTTCCTGCTACAGGAAGCTTGTGTCCGGTCCCTTTCCTTGGGATCTTCCTGCTTCAGTCTGCTGGCAGGAGCCCTCCCGTTGCGGAGCCCTTCCACTGCTACTGCAACAAAACAATGTTCAATGCTTTCCACTGCACAATGGTATGAGTAACTCCACTCAAATTATCCACTGCAAATAGACATAAGTGTAACTACTTGGAAGTTACAAATCCAGATCCTTGATATTGAAGGTCCCTAAACAGACAGTTTAGTGTTAGGGCTAGTAACAAACACACACTTGGTTTGAGGATGGGAAGCATGGACAATTTCTGCATATATTCCTAAGAAACCAGGTGAGTTGGCTTTACCACCTTCTGGCCTCGAAGGGATCGCTCCCTTTCTTGGCCAGTGCCAGTAAAGTCCTGCAGAAATAGTGACAGATGATTCACTAGAGGGTACCAGAGGTAACCTGGAGAGGCAGCAGAAGAAGGGAGCAGAGTGCTTGTGCCCAGGGCTGCTCGGCCAGATGATAGGCTTTACAGAGCCTCCTTCTCCTGGCATGGCTGGTGAGGGGTAAATAGGTAGATGTTAACACAGCGTGACTGCAGGAGGGGTTGCACAAACACAAAGGTGTAAACATATGGGGACAACCAAAGGCGTTCCTCTCCTGCAGCTCCCTGTCCTGCCTGGGAGGGACATGCTGCACCTTGTGCTCTGGTCCCGAAAGGCTCTGTCCTGATGGATAAACAGCTGGTGGGGAAAACTGCTGAATTGCTGTTTGTGAAGCAGGTGACTTGCTTGTAGGGTCACAGCATTGATCTTCCTTGTGCACAGGGCAGAAGCCCAAAACTGAGCCTTGGCTGACGTGGAGGACAGCAGGCACACTCTATAGCTGTGGTGATATATTCTAGATCCCAGTTCTCACTCTAGATCCTTGATGGGTGTTTGCTCTTCTGTCCCTTTAATCTGTCTTCTACTGCAAACTATTCCCCAAATTTAATAACATAGCTGGAAGAGAATGACTTTGATCTTGACAGAACATACTGAGTTGATCTATTTTAACTGCAGATTTGGTTTGCAAATAACATCTCCTTTCTGATAAGGTTCAGGTGTCATCTCTGTGGACACTGGCAGGAATTTGCTTGACCATGACAGCTTTTACAGAGTTTGGCAATTAAGTTGTCAAGATACATTTGCCTCAGCCAGGAAGCATTAATGGATGGTAGTCTTGGCCGGAATAAGTCCTTAGAGATGGATATTGTAATCAGGATGAAAAGAGGTCTTTATAGGTGAGGCCTGCATTGGTCCAAAAGTCTGGAGTCCTTGACACTTGGGAAATAAGGTGACAGGGCAGGAGGCACTGGGGCTGAACATCAGGGAGAAGAAATGAAAACAAGATAGATGAAGAGAGATCTTTCTAATGTCACTAGAGATTAACATAGCTGGAAATGTTGGTATATGGGGATACTTCAGTTTTGCAGATGCACACTGCAAACTACTAATATTAGCAGAGCTCCTGGGTATGAAAGCAAATCAAATTTTCCACTAGGTAATCCCCAAAATCGTGTTATTGTGGATTTATTTTTCAAGTAAGAAAGATGTTGGAAATGCCTTTCTCCTAGAAAATAAAACTGGGATGATTCAATGTGAACTGACTGTGTTTAAATTATGTCAAAAATAGATCTGTAAGTAAGGATTTTGATTAGCAAGTACAGAATTTGAAAGGTTAAAAGTTAGTGAGAAA